AAACATATGTATGAGTTGATGTTCAGATGAACATAAAACAGATCATCATATTGTTAACTATCTTATACAACTTGATATATGACAGGTTCTGATGAGTAAATTATTGTGTTTATGAGCTTTGATAGCTTTTTTTTCGATAGAAATTTTAGGATCTTCTGCTATTACTATATGTACGGTAGCTAGTATAGCAGAGGTATAGAAATGGAGTATGACTTAGAAGAGAAAGAGAATGAGAGAGTGAAAGAGAGGTAAAAGAGATTAAGCATAAAAGGCTTTTAGCACAACTTCGGTGAAGATGAATAGGGAAAATTGTAATTGAATAGCCGACTGTATTTCGGTAAATGTTAGCTGAACGCTAAGCGTCGTTTATCCTACGATGTGTTTATGAATTTGGAAAGCTTCTCTTGGCGGATAAATTTCTAGAGTAAGTGGAATGGATAGATTGCAATGTGCTAGTCTAGTATATCATACGCAATGAAAAGTTTTTAATCAACCTATGTTAGTTATAGGGTACTTCTCTTAAATTTAATGAAAGTTATGGCTTGAGATAAAGTGGGTTGAGAAGATAACATTTGAAGTCATATTTCTTCCGTTTCAATGAAAGTCAGACGATTGTTCTTCTCCTATGAGCACAATTGTGTCGAATCTGAGAAAGAATTAAGGTGCAACAAGGGGTCAGCACTATAAAGAGGGAGAGAGAAAGAGAGAGCATACATATGAATGGGATTGAGAGAGGGAGAAGGAAAAGTCAATGAATTGGAATCATTTTGAGAATAGTAGAGTGTAATAAGAAAAACGTACGACTGTTCGTTCGATCTGCACAGAACTTCTGTTGATCATTTAATAAATAATTTTTATTAACTATAAGGCAATTGAGCAGAAAGTTGAATAATCGCGCAGGAAGTCATTTTTTATGTATTGTAACAACAGCCCTCAACGACATATATGATTAGTGGTTGAGGAGTGAGGGAAACGCAGACTGTAAAGTTTCAAGTTCATTAATTAGATTTTCGTCGATCCTGATGACAATCTAGGTTAGGAGCTTAGCAATGGGGAACTGAAGACCGTTCAGTCATTTTAAGAAACACAAAAAAGTGATTTGAATGAAGTCAAATCATCGACAGATGTTTGAAAATCGTAAAGTTTTGCTGATCTGGTAAGGGATGGGCTGGAGAGGGATTGAAAGAAAGAAAAAGGGTTGATGACTACAATCAGTGTATATAATTGGAAACACACAAATAGCTGAACTGAAAAAGAACTATTTCAACAAAACTTAATGACCTGAGGCGATTAGTCAACTAGTTCAAAGGGTGTGAAGAGACAGGCATGTAGCCATAGCGCTTTCATTTAGTGAATGTGAGGAAAACACAGACGAAATGAATCTGAGAGCAAGAGAGAGAGATACATGTTTTGAAAAAGAGAGAACCAGTGAGTAAGAGAAAAAGGGAGAAAGAGAAGGGGAGAGAGAAAAGGGAAGCCATGATGTGGACATTAGAAAGGCAATGATGCGTAGCTTACATGTGGGGCAGGACTTCTCATTTGAAGAACCATTTATAGAAGTTGGATTTGGTTCCAAGTTTCGTTAGCCAAGCATATTATTTCAAAAAAGCTATATGACTGCAGCTATCACTCATTTCCCCACCTCTGCTCATTCGTTCGTTTTAATGGCGTCGAAAGAAAAAAAAACTAGCCTTATGGAACTTTTATCCTCATTACAGTGAAGAAAACGATGGCTTAATTGATAGTTGTGGTTGTAAACATGTCATTCGGAAAATCCATGAAAATCTGTGAGCATCTCAGTCATCTGACACGGAAATAATTGTCAAATTTTTATGTTAATGACCATCTTAGGACATACAAATAAGTGACAGTCAGCTCAACCTGAATTAATGATTTCATCTGTCGTCTCTTCATTTGCCTTGTTTTTCAATTTTCAAACTTTCATTTGACCATAGAGGCTATAAGTGACATTCCTATGAGCCAAGATGACCAGTTTTTAAACAGACTTTCCACAAACTTTCTCTATTTTATCTCCTTTCACTTGGGTTTATTTTGAGAAAATCAAAGCAAATTCTCTTTCAACAAACTTTGAGGGATACGTGAGAAATTGGGGATGCGCAATCTCATCCAAACAATGCAATTTCAAACGTAAATTACATGAAATGCATATGCTCATCATCAAATTCGGAGATTCATTTCGTTAGTTGACAATCTGTTTAAGCTTTTACCAGCGCATCCTTACAAGAAATTCAATCTACAAACAAGAAAATGCAGATTCAAACCAAATAAGTAAGGTTACTATAAAAAGCATCATGAAAATAAAGAGAAGAGAGGGAAAGGGAGAAAGATAAAATAGAAGTTTTTAAAAAAGATAAATGAAGTTGGGAATTTGTCTTGTTGAATAATAAGCCTTGTCAACTGAATGGAAGAGAAACGAGCATTCAAGCATCAGATAAAAAAAGTCTCCCCTCCCCTCCCTCTCTCTTAAGCTTTGTAACAGAAAGTAAAAAAAGATTTTTCCTGTTTAAAAATAGATTCTTCGTTCAGAGCATGAGATGATCAGAAAGAAGTCATAAGGATATGAAAGATGGTTATCGTTCTAATTGCCATTACTTTGCTTAAGACGACAACTCAGCATGACATCCATATGTTTACAAAAAATAAAAAATAAAGAAATGAGAGGTCAAAGTTATTGAGCAAATCTGATCTAATAGAAGTTTATTAATTATAAAAATACTAACAGAAGTTCTAATTTGTCTGAGAACTTCATTCAACCATTACAATCAAAAGGATCATCTCCTCTTCCACATAAGGGCAAGAAATTAAAAAAATAAACCGTCTCTACTTCTCTCTGTCTCTCTAACTTGCTCTCTCTTTTAGTTTTTCCACACTCTCTCTAAAAAATAATCTTATTGTCATTAGCTTATATCTCATAAAGAAAAGCTGACTAATTTCTTGCAAAATGAAATGAAGATATGAGAAAATGAAAGTGTCTTTGCCAGATGGACCACATTCGTCTGCCTTCGGGAGCAGCCTTCAATTGAAGACGAATGGCTGACCACGACAAAAAGATGCCTCGTTCATCAGTTAAATTCCAAAAAGTTGCTGTTGATTTGCTGAAAAATCTTCAAAAAGTGCCACAAATGAATGGAAAATGAAAACATTTCCATTTCAAGGATAAACTTTGATTGACATGCTCATCAAACTTCTGAGAAGGTCAATACATAGCCGTACTTGAGAAGCAATTTGACATAGCTTAAGAGAAATTGTTAGAAAAATGAAAATAACTCATTGCTCATTAGAAACAATAATGGCAAATTCATCTCATCAGCAGGGAAAAATGCATTTTCAAGCCAACAGTGAGAATGAAATTTGAATTTCCCACTCATTTATATTCACGTGGTTGACGTGAAAGCTGCCAAGGTTACATGCAAATGATGCACATCATTTTTCATTTTAAAGACGCGAGAAGCGGTTGATGCAAATGACAATGATAGAGCTTACTTTCCTTTTTTCTCTATTTTTATTCTTTTTTTTTCTTCTTCTTCTTCTTTCAAATAATTTTTGCAAAGAGTTTAAAGAATATAAAAAAGATGTTTAACTTCATGCAGAATTGGTTAAGATGATCGGCAAGTTCAAACGATTGATAAAGAAAACGGTTGGAATATAGTTGAGGATGAGCTGTATTTAATGTGCAAATGATCGTCTAACAAATGATCTCTTAAACTATTTATTGTCTTTTCAAAGATATTAAACGGAATGAGTGAGAAAAAAAAGCAAAGCATAATATTTAGGAGAACATTTTATTTTTATGTTTACACATCCACAGACATACACACAGACACATACAGAATACTTACGAGATGGCTTTCGTAGTACTTGAAGATGTATGTGAAGTTGTATAGATGTAATGAAGTGTTAAATTACTGATTTATATTATACGGATGTGTTGCTATGCTTCAACTATTCTTATAAATGAGTATAGATAGGATAAGCTTATTTCAGGTCAAATCATGACAAGATTTGCTGATAGCAATAAGAATCTGGATTAATAGAGATTTTGATGATACAAATCTGACAGTATGAATGACAGCATTTCCAACAGTTGTAGTATATCAATGGCATATACGAATATCATTTGATTAATTAAAATCTATATAATACATATATATGGTAATAAAACTATTTTATGAAGTGAGATGACATCCTTGACCGGAAGTATGTTATGGTTTTACTAAACGGTTAACAAAAAGATGCGTATGTAGTCACTTAGATATATCTGATTGACATGCGTTTTGTCGGTAACGTTTCTATCTGTTTTTGATCACTTTTTAATAATCTACTAATGGTATACATGCAGTTTGTTTTTCCTTTTATGTCATGCTGTCGGATGAGGACAAAAGAAAGTTGTTAAGGTCACAATTTTACTTCTAATCATGGCTTATCCGATTAGAATCTACAACATCTGTGGAATATACTGAAATACTGGTTCTCTACACTATTCGAGGGGTCGAGAAGCTCTTCGAAAGGTGTAATTAAATAAAATCACCAGTACTTTTATTCTGGAAAAGCAATTGTAAGCTCTATTCATAGTCTTAATATAAGATTTTTCTTTTTTTCACTCGTTTTCTTGGTTACTTCAGCGTCTCTCAATTCCAATCTCGAGTGAGACGGTTATAATATAGGAGTCAGCCAGTCTTAGGTGACAATTCTCTCACTGAATCTATATATGAAATAATTGACTGAAAAAGACCCTCAGATGGATTAGAGAGAGAAAGGAGAAAACGAACTTAACCATGAAACGACGATGTTCCCTTTCAAAAGATGGTTATTGGTCTGAAGACACTTGACTTAACGACTTCGGGTATTCAGGTCATCGAAAATCCAAGAAATCGTTAACAGCTACAATCTCCCCGATCCGCCCTGTCGTGTCATTTCGATCGCCTCAGGCGATTTCGTATTGAAAAGGAATTGACGATTTGTTCTGTAAGAACATCATCATGCTTTCTACATCGCATTATATAACCTTCGTGGTTATCCAACTCTTTTTGATTTTCCACTCAACTTCTGCTGGTTCAGTACAAGTCTGTCGGGATATTGCTGACTGTTCTACCTGTGCTGACTCTTACATTCATGTTCTAGGTTTCAGAGAACAATGCAGGTATGTTGTCTACAATGTATAAAATCATTTTTGAATAAATTATTTTTTCTAGATGGTGTGTTGAGACGAATACGTGTGGTGGTCCACTTTCATGCCCACTGGGAAAGGCCGCGGTTCAAAGGGATCCGTTCCGATGTCCTCAAAAGGTAAGAAAAGATTAACACAGTTTTATTTTATTGAGAAGCTTAATTTTTTAGTTCTCAACATCAAAGGGCAAACGCTACACTGATGATCTAGGAAGATCTGTCTTTGCTGTTGCTATTTCTGTCAAAGCAGATAATGCTTCGGAGTGTTTGTCAAACGTTCGCCCAGATATTAAGTAGAAAAAGTTTTTTTTCAATGTATAAACAATTAATTCTGCAGCTACGTGAAGCAATACAATGTTGAATGTGACGGAGCTGGAAACAGCTGTGGAGGAATTATAGCTGCAAGTGATGAAGCTAAGGCTCTCTATGTCGCTTACAAGGGGAGCAACTTTGATAAACAGGTTGATATTCTGCAAAAAAACTTATGATTTATACCCTTCTCTAGATTTTGGCAGAGTTCATTCATGGATTAGCTGCTCAACTTGGAGCTTGGGAGAAGTTCGAGAGTAAAGATGCTGGTGTTATCACTTACTTCTACGGTGCATTCACCAAGTAAGTATAATTATTTCTTAAAATTACGTGTTAACAATAGTTTTTCCCAGACTTTTCATTGACAGTGGAATGTATGACGATTTGATGGAGTTGAAGAAGAAGCATCCCAACTACCGTGTTTGGGTATGGCTTCCAAGTTAAAAACTTATTTTGAATTTCTCATTTATAGTTGACTGGACATTCACTTGGAGGATCATTAGCTTCAATGACTGCACTTTATTTAATAAAACATGGCTCATTCGAATCTTCAAAGGTAAATACTTTCTCAAATTCTTCAAACAAGTGAATGTCTAGGTCCGTCTTTTAACATTCGGTGAACCACGTACTGGAAACACAGCTTATGCCCGTGAAGTTGAGAAGTATGTTCCATTCCGGTACAGAGTTGTTCATCGTAATGATGCTGTGAGTCATGAAAAGAAAAAAAATGTGAAAAATAGTGATATTTCAAGATAAGTAATTTGCCCGGATCTGCTGATCCTAACACTCCATTGATGACTTCATCAATGTTCGATAGACAGCCTTTGTTCTACCGTCATCTTGTTCATTATGACAACAAAATGGAAAGAGGAGACAAGTTTAAGGTTTTTCTTTCATAGCCACCGAACTTGTTGTAATTTTTCTTTTAAAGATTTGTGAGCTTTCCGATGATCACGGTTGTCGGAACTTAGCAATGGCAGCAGATTTCCAGGATCATTTCACATACTTTGGCATCAATCACAACGATTTCGTACGTGATGGATGTATTCGTCGTCAGTTAATTTTTGATTGACAAACATTCATCTGATTCGATTCTTCTTTTTCCATATCTTTTTCTTTTTTTGCAATTATTCTGTGATTGTCCACTGACTGTGGATGTGTGGTTTCAATGATCTTCACATGATGACCCGAAGAGGTTCATCTTTAATAAGAAAAACTAATAATATATTGCTAATAAATTATTATTTATATAGTATTTTCATCAAAAACAGGTACATAAGTTCGTAGCACTGAGTCTGTACCTCGAGCTACAAAAAGACATTCTGTGGGATGCCAACTGAAAAGTCCGATTAAACTTCAGAAGAGAAAATACTTGAAATACCTGGTTTCAACAATCGTTTTGACCTTCTTCACTTCTACATGTGGATGCCGAGAACCAGGAGATGTGTTCAATTTTTCGGATAAATTGTGAACGAACAGACTGTAAAAGTTTCATAATTTGCTATCTGCATGTATGTGAAACCTTGATTCATCAGAAGAAGTCAAAAATCGGTAGCTATTCGAGAAATTCAAGGAACGAATATCGTTGTCTTGCAGCTTTTGATTTTGCAATTTTTTTCTTGACTGCAGATCATTTATTTGCAAAAATCCTCCAGCCTCTGCTAGAACCAAATATTTCTCAGAGGCATCCATAGCATTAACACAGATCTCTAGAATGAAGAAGAATGTGGATGTTACAAAAATATATTATTAGTACTAGTATTGTTTCGTTTTACAGGTCCGTAAAGTTCTATGGGCTTGTTCTGTCGGACATCCCACAAGGTAACATTTCCATCTATAGTGGTTGATTGGAACATACATCCCTTCCGACAACGTATAGCCGTAGCTCCACCAGAATGATCAAACTTTCTGAACGTCATTCCAGTCTCAACATCAACAACTTGAATTCCTTGACGTCCTCCAATGAGTAATAAGTTCTGTTCTGTGGTTAAATCTTCCATGAAAGCTGCCGAAAGAGCAACACCTTCAGTTTTGATTTTCGTTGGAATTTCTGGATGAAAGAATGATTTTGCCATTACATCAATTAATTTCATAATCCTCACTTCCCGAGATTATTTGCCCAGTTGATGGATCATGATGTGTTAAAACAACAAAGTTTGATGTTTGAGCAGTTGAAACAGACAAGTTACCCACAGGATTCGGACGAACTTGTCGAATACGATGTTCGCATAACTTCTTCGATGATAGGACTGCATTACTATATCAAATGAACATTATTTTATTATAAATGTTTTATGAGTTACGAAACATACGTTGTGCTATTTACACTAACAGTGTGAAGTGAGCCCTCTGAATCACCAACTAACAGAAAGTGAGATGAATTTGAACCGTTTGACCAGTCAATAGCCGTAGGTATCGATTGAAGGTTAAGGATATTCTCTTCCCATTTCGCCTATAGAAGAAGACAAGTGCGAAAATAGGATGTATTACTTACTCGATGAAAATTATTGAATAATCGGAGAAAATCGTTCATATAGAATTGTTGAAGTAAAAAGAAGAAAAAAAGAAGAAGAGAGAGAGGAACAGTGAGTTGGAAAGAAATCAAAAGAGAGAGAGAGAGAAAGGGAAAAGGCACAGAAATTGAGAGAAAGAAATTCAAAGAGAGGGAAATAGATTGAAAAAGAAATGAGAGTGACTGTCGCTTTGGAACGGGAAAGTTGAAGATAGAATCAATCGATTTCTGTAATAAGGTGTACGTCAATAATGTATACATTTGAAGAAATTTCCGAATATTTTTTTGTTGGAAAATTGAAAAGAAAACTCGAAGGGTGCCAAACTTTTTCGTTCATAAGTGGCCGATCTAGCGCACCATTTCGAGCATCTTTAATTTTTGCCTCTTTGAGCATTTTAAGGCTTATTCTATCAAAATTACACATGTCTTCATACTCTGAAAATGTATCATTTTTGACAATTCTGAAAAAAGGGTCGAAATGGATAGTCGAGATGGTGGAAAAATTGCGCTAAGCATTCTTGAGCCAAACTGCGCTGAGTTCTTCGGATGTCGGACACCGCCAACAGACCAGAGCGCCGCAGGTTTTCACTGCTGGTGCAATGAAATTTTTAATATTTTTGTCTTACCTTTCCTTGGTTTTTGAAAACAAACTAAGCCAATGAATTGAAAATAAACTAATTGTCGTCGTGTTCCACGACTTTTGAAGTTTTTCTTATTGTTGAATGACCACAATTAGTTTCTTTATCACGATTATAAATGTGCAATGAAAGATTAGATTCTAACTGTCTTTTTTGTGAGCTTGTGAATTGGGGGACGTTCTGTGAAAATGATTCTCTTCAAACATAAAACAATAATCCTCATTCAGAAGCCTTAAATCCTCTTAAAACCTGACGCTATGCAAGATCCTTCCTTGAGAGTTCTGAAGAAATCTGTGTTAAATCATTCTTTTTATTCGAACTATTCGAGGCATTTTGATTTCTTGATTCTTCCCAATCCATGGATTGAGTAATAGTTATGTTATGTCCATTTTAAGCTTATTTCGATAACTCAATGACAATGATAATGTAAATAAAACAAGCAAAAAAAGCTTCTTTATCTAATTTTTTGCATTATAAGCTGTGAAAAATCAAAAATCGTACAAATCTTTTGTGTCGATAGCGATTAACTGTCTTATTGAGAGATTGTCACCAGTATGGACTCATTAAAGAACTAATGAAGTATGACGTTGTAGCATAGAAGCAACATAAAGCGTGTTCATTGGAAATGATAAATCATTAATAGTATAAGATACATTTTTATTATAATGTCATGATTGGATGACGATATAACTAAGAACTGAGATTAGTGAAGAAGCATATTCCGAGTACTTTCCTATCACTTCCTAGCAGCAGCTCATTCTGATAAGAGAATTTGGTAAGTTGTCACCCTCATCTATTGAACTGTACGAAAGAGAAATAGAACACACTGTTCAACTAGAGTCCTTTCAATTCAATTTCTTCTTTCAGTCTTGCTTGTGCTGATGATTTCCCGCTCTTCTTTCCTATTCCGAACAGGATACAGTTCTGAATTAGCATCAGTCCTGAAACAATTTTAATTCTCTGAATTCCAGAATATGTGAAATATACCGAAAAATGTGATTAAACAACAAATGAATGCTATAATGAAGTTCCAAATCTGGTTATTATCTGCTGAGCACAAGAGCTCTTTCTTCTCTTCACAGAACACGAGATCAATCTTCTGAATGCCAGATAATCATAAAAAAAACTTTCCATGCTTTTTCATACTTTATTACTGATGCGGTTGACAATGGCTGGTATGAGAACCTTGAAGTCAAAACATTGTTGATCCAGGAGACTACAGAATGAGTAAATTCCTCCAATGAAGATGAAGTATACTGAAACCTACAGTTGTCTGCCCTATAACGTTGGAACTAACCTATAGTCACGGCAGACACAAAACAGGATAGTAGGACCCAGCAAAGCATAAAAGCTTGAGATGAGAAGCTTGACAGTAAGAGCATACAAAAAGTGCCAAGACAAGAAGTTTTTTCAATAACTTTAGCTTAAAAACAAAGAAAAATGAAAACAATCTTGATCACTAACCTGAGCTTAGATATGAAACGAATAAGTAGCTAATGAATACTAGAACTATAATGAAAACTACTACTTGTAAGTATATTGAACCGAAATCTCCAACTTTCACAAATGCATTTATCTTTGAAATTAGTGAATGCATAAAGAATACGAGTCTATGATCTTACTTGTCTTGAAAATCCACTCATAGCTCTGTTAAACAGAACACTGAAGACTAAACATGATGCCGCAGATATGAATGAGGCTAAAGCTGATATCACTATAGAAAATGACATCCTTGTCCTATGCTGAAATCAGTCTATTCCAAATCAGTTTTTTTCAACAATTCGGCTCTGAGTAACAGCGGTGTTCCGTTATTTCACGTGAATTTTACGTGAACATCGGGAGTTACGTGAAAAATCCCGAAATTTCATTTCAGTTTATTCTTGAGTAAGACTCGGTTGTGTTTGCTGTGCTTTTCAAAATTGCAACAACATATAAGTAGAATGTTATTTTGAAAAAAAACGAAATAAGTACAAAAAGTAAAATTAAGTGGAGCTGTGAAGGAGGATGGTTAAAACAATACCGTTAAGGTATGTCTGCTAGCAAATATTTGATTTTGTTATTCATTTCGAAGTAGCAAAGACGGTATTAGCCAAATGGAAGCTAATCAATGAAATTTTGAGAATAAAAAAAGAAGGAAACTTTCGAAGAAAAAGAATGATGGCAAGTGGCTAGTTGCTGTTGAAAACGAAAACAAGATCGAGTATTTCTCGATTACTTTAATGAAAACAACAGGAGCACAATCCGAATATGGATCAATAGAAGATAAAAATAAAATAATTCTATTTAAAGAATAGAAAAATCATAACGAACCTGTCTGGGACTGTTTTTGTTCAGCGGAACAGCTTCTTCCATTGTTTCTGAATACGTTTGTAACTGTATTTCATTCAAAGAATAATATTTTCTTTAATAAAAAAAAGAAATAAAAATAAAAAGTGTTGGGAAATCAACAAGAAAAGAAGTCGTTTATAAGCTTTAAAGCAATTACAAACACAAAAATATGGAAAGAACATCAGCAGACAAGCAGTCCGGCAATAACAAACTGAACTAACAATCGATAAGTTTAGAGAACACCGATAAGCATAGTCGGACAGAGAGGGATGTGAGATGCTAGACAACATGCCTGGTGGTTGTGACCTCAAACCGAATATGTAATATCATGGCATGCTTAATTATTTATTGGAATCAAAAAAAATAACTTTTTTTTTGTTCATATCGTTAAATGTTTGTAGTTGGATATAAGCTTCTTCCCCTGGACTAGCTGAGATTGTTCTATTGAAAGCGTTCATGATCGGAAAGGATTATCTGAAGCAAAACGAGTGTTAACCTGTTGTGTTGAAACATCACTTCTATTGACTATATGGCTAATCGAGTTAAAATATATGAAATATCTCATTCATCTATCCCTATATCTATCTGTTCTGACTGAACGAAATCATTGAAAATTAAATTAAATTCAAGAAAATTTCACAGATCAAGTGCGTGTGCGCACTTTCTGGACCCCCTAAGGCGTTTCAGTTAGGCTGATCGTCAAAAAGTAACATTTACGACCTCTCCGGCTACACCTTAAGGATATTGTGACAAAATTGCTTTGAATACTTTTATGTAACTAGTTTGGGATGTGTGCCTCAATCATCTAGTAGTTCTTCTTTGAATACAAATTTCACGAGGTGGCCATGTAGAAATGTCAGTGATTTAAATGACATAAATGAGCTTCTCGTCCTACATTCTTTATACAATTTGAACTATCAGTCCTATTATGTGTCAGAGACATCCGAAGGTTCACCGTTAATTCAATAAAAATTTCAGTTATATTTAACATTTCATGCAAATTGAACCTTTTCCCTCTATTATCTCTTTGCATGACTGTCAGATAAAAAATAATTTTCATCATTTGACCATCTGAACGTTCCTTCTGAATTCCTTGATCGAACCTGATTTGCTACGTGACATGTGAGGATTTTGTTCAAGCATTATCATCGTCTTTTTCCTTTTCCTTTGGCTTTTGGATGTTTTGATTTGTTTCATCTTCAGATCACCATCGTCCACAAGTCGTGGGCGTCTGAACTGTTTTCTCCAAAACTTCTTATCTTATTCCGTTCAAAAATGTTTCTATGTATTATCGTCTTCAGAATTAAACCAAACTGTTGTCTAGATTACATCAGAGTTCACTTAATGAGCAATAAAAGCTTCTCATGATGTCCATGATATTCATTCTTTTGACGTTCCGCATGATATTTCCTTCAGTATAGTTTATAAACATAAATCTTTCACTCTATTTTGGCAATTTTTTTCTTGTTTTCTGAGATTCTTTGACTTTGATAAAGAAACTATTTCTTCTTTCTCCTCTTTCCAAAAATTAAAACTCTTACTGGTTGATCATTCATACGTCACCTTGATCTGGAAACTCAGATATGAGGTGTACTGACTAAGAATGGTCACAGCTTTTATTGAAAAGCGAGCGTTTGGAAATGAAAAGAAGGCATCGCTAAAATCGTTCTTTTATTGAGAAGGATTAACTTTTCTGCAAAGTATCTTTCTTCGAAAATCTCCTTAAAATGGATAAAAGAGGATGGAAACCTCTCTCTCTCTCTCAAGGAAACACGTAGTGAAGCAACTTTGAAGGTGAATAGAAGTTAATCTTATTGTTGATGTGAAAATAAGTTTTTCATTTTGTTTTCCTCTTCTACCTCAGAACTGTTAATACAAGAGTCTTCTCCATTGAGTGCACATGTTTTAACCTTTGTCTTAGTATGAAAAAGTCTTTTTCATATTTCTTTTCTTAACTTCTTTCTCAGAGCAGTTATCATTCTCATTCTCTTCGTTCTGTTTTCATTCTGATGTCATCAATAAGATTGCTTTCCTAAACGAAATAGTGAATACTAATCTTTCACGTTTATTTTCAACATTTTGACGTCACATTCTACCAAAATAACCAGACGTTTCAGTCGTTTTTCTCAGTCCGATCAAACTTTATCAAAGGCAGTTTTCTCTTCATCTTTCTGCATGTACTTTGACGCTTTTTTTTGCTGGTTGAGAATAGGAGCTAACAAGTTTCTTTGATCAAAGAATTTCATTTAACTTCAAAATCACGTTGTTCACGTAAACGTTACATAACCATATAACATCATTTTTATTGTTGGCAATGCTTCAGAGCGGTTGTATATATACTTCTTCATCAAACAGAAGCTTCATATAACAAAATAAAGAATGTCATATTAACATTCTACTTTCATTCTTAGCTTTTTGTGCATTTCGAAATTTGTTCCTTCTTATCATATGTTGCCATCAACATTCGTCTGAGAACTTTTCACACAAAATTTACTTTTCTTCCTATTTTTCTCTAGTTTATAACTTTGATCCTTTGAGTTTTTCTTTCTCTGATTTTACAGTTAGCCCTCCCTGTTTTTCCTCCTCCGCAAAATATATCTTCGAGTCTTATTTCATTCATCAATGGTTAACTAACTACTTATTTGAATCTGTTTTAAGCGATGAGTTTGGAAACGAATAAACCTCGCCGAGTGGCTATAATTGGAGCTGGTGCAAGTGGCTTACCATCTATCAAATCTGCTCTAGAGAAAGGATTTGAGGTAAGTTCTTCAATATAACTAGCTTCTCACTCATACAATTGGATAGGCTGTTTGCTTTGAAATGAGTAATGACATTGGTGGCTTATGGAGATTCAAGCCAAATCCTTGTCCAGGTATGAAGAATGATTTGAAGAATAACGACTAGTAGAGTCGAAATCGTGAAAACTTAACAGAGAAGTGAAAAGAGATTAAGTGATGGATGAATAGAATAAAGTGTAGTTTGTGATAAGACTGATTCATTGATAGAAGAAGCAGTCAAAAACTTGATCAACTTTGAGCTTCCTCGATTCACATGAAAACAGAGAAGAAGTTTCATATAGTTCATAGATGGTGTGGGTGAAACAATCATAATATGTTACAGTTATTTGTACTTATAGAGTGAATAGTTAATAACAAATTATCATTCGAATATATTGTTTGGTTATTGCCATTCAAATTGATTCAAACTTTTGTTAAAAACTGGTTGACCCATGTTTTCCTTATTCTATTCAATTGAAGATGAAAAGATTTGAATTTACTTTCTCATTCATAACACAGCTTAGAGTATATGATGAAGTTGATGATTTCGTGGAACAAGAAATATAATAAACAATTTTATTATTTATTATAGGAGAGGGTACTGTTATGAAGACTACAGTAATCAATACATCGAAAGAAATGACAGCTTATAGGTGCTTCTTGTTATATCGTAACATGTTATCATGCATATGATTTCAGTGATTTCCCCCCTCCAGAAGAAGCTGCTAACTTTATGCACAATTCTGAGCTTCTCAGATATTTCAGAGCTTATGCTGATCAGTAAATAATATAAAATTATTTTTATTCTAATATATATTTTTTAAGCTTCAAGTTGAAAGAACATATACGTTTTCAACATCAAGTCAAATCAATTAAGAGACATGGTGATTTTGAGAAAACTGGTCAATGGGAGGTTGAGTGGCTAGATCTCACGTAAGTTCCAATCACATACTGATTCTTAATTGTACAATTGATCTTTCAGAACGAATAATGGAGCAACGGAAGTATTTGATGCCGTACTGGTATGTACAGGACATCATACTGAACCATTCTGGCCAAAACCTTTCCCAGGGCAGGAAGATTTTCAAGGAAAAATTATGCATAGTCATGATTACAAAGATCATAGAGTAAAAATCTCTATTTTTAAATAACTTTACAACTCTTTCAAGGGCTTTGAAGATCAGGTTGTTGTTGTGATAGGTATCGGCAACAGTGGAGCTGATATTGCTGTTGAATTAAGTAAAATAAGCAAAAAGGTTCATAGAATATTTCAGTTTAGTGTCTTTACAATTTAAATAATTGAAGGTGTATCTGTCAACACGATCTGGTTCATGGGTTATGAACAGAGTTTGGGATGAAGGAGAGCCAACTGATCTCATATATCTGAGCCGGTATGATTATTAAAATGCAAATTACAACGAATGTTTTTTTGCAGATTTATGTTTGGTTTGAAGCACACAACGCCCTGGAGTATACGAAACTGGGCTCTCGAACGAAAACTGAACTCAAGGTATCTGCTAATTATATGTAAACAATACACGTGACAAGCTCACGTGGGAAAAAAGCAATAAAGAATAATTTCAAAGATCAGAAACGTGATGAACGGTTGTTCATTTACATTATCAACTAACATATTATTTTTAAGGTTCGATCATGGAAGATTTGGGTTGAAACCTGACCATCGGGCACTTGCAGCTCATGTAACTATCAATGATGAATTACCAAATAGAGTAATCTCTGGTACTATTGTGGTAAGTTATTTGAATGACTGGAATTTGGTGATGAAAACCAAGTGAATGCATTTCTCTTCATTGAAAACAATTCAATTAACAGATTAAACCGAACGTTGGCTCTTTCACTAAAAATGGAATTGTGTTTGATGATGGTACTGTCATAGAGAAGGTTGATACGGTAATGATGCTATTCAGAGTAAAAATCTCATTATAAGTCATAGGTTATATTTGCTACTGGATTCTCATTCGGCTTTCCATTAATAGAAGAAGGAAATTTAATTCCCGTAAAAGATAATTATGTGGAATTATATGAATATATGTATCCGCCATCATTATCACCCCAGGTTTCTATTTGATTCTTATTATATTTTTTATTCATATCTTCAATAATATTATAGAATACTTTGGCCGTTATTGGCTTAATTCAGCCCACTGGTTCAATCATGCCAATCTCAGAAATGCAAACGAGAGTCTTTATGGCAGCTTTAAAGGTTATAGTCTCAATTAATGAAATAAAGATAATTAATAAGATTAGGGTGATATCAAATTGCCTACAAAGGATAGAATGCTTAAAAATATCAAAGCAAAGAATGATGTGATGAAGAAGGAGTTTGTCGCTAGCCGTAGACACACAATTCAGGTACAGTTGATATGATATTCAAGTTTCATTTCAGTTATAATATGAGTTGTTCAGGTCTATTACGTAGAATATATGGATGAATTGGCTGAACTACTTGGATGTAAGCCATCCATATTCTTTAAATGGTTTTATGATCCCATCTTGGCTTATCATCTGGTCTTTCATGGTCTTGTTCCCTATCAATATAGACTTGAAGTATGATTTCACAAAACACTTTATTACATTCATATATTCAATTTATTATATTAAGGGTCCTGACAAATGGGATAAGGCTAGAGATGCTATACTCACATTTGAGAATCGTGTATTCAATGCTACAAGAACAAGAAAAACAAAAGAAACAATGAAAAGTACTCCTACATTTAAGCTTTTCAACGTCATGAAAATGCTGAGATGAGCCATTTTTGATGTTTTATTTTGAAATTAACGTTTAAGCTTGCTTTAAACATATTATGAATAACATGAGATTATATATCCAATGGATCATTCGCCTTTCGATTCTTACTTCTATGCTTCTTCCTCATTAACAACATTTCAATATATACAACATGATCATACTTATTGTCATAACTTATTTCATCCCAGATTTATTAAAATTATTAATGAAAGACAAAAAAAAATATTTTTTTTTGTTTTTGAAATAAAAAAAATAGTTATGGTTGTTGAGGTATTTTCATCATTGATTTGCTCAAGTTTTGGGTGTTCAAGACGTATGTATGAATACGAGATAGATGAAGAACTATTATGATGCAGACGATGGAGAATATCGTCATTCCAGCTGCAAGAATTGACAATGACAATGGAGATAAACAGACTGTTTCCTATAATGTTATGGAATGTTAATTAGATGACTGATGTCAAGCAAACTTCATTCCAAAGGTATTGTAAGCTTTCCATGAATGGCTTGAATGTCACTAATGTCGTTGTCTCATTCACAACTGCCATTTCTTCTATTACTTGACTTTCGTTCATTGAATCAATCATACTGATTGAAGCAACAACATCAATTGATCCTCCGCGAGGCAATACTTCTGAATGCCTTTCTCATTCATCTTTCATTTCAATAAAGATCTCAAACCTCTGACGGCTCTTCGCCGCCGGCGTAGCAGAATTCCTGATGAATCAGAATCATCTGATCCATCACACATGGGTGGAGTTAATCCATTGCATTCTCCATTGGTTCGAGAACAAATCTATGAACGAGAACAGTTTGGTGATTGAGTTTTAAAATTAAGAATACCTCCAGAACACATTCATAGTTAAGGTTGTTAGTATCGCTGAACTTGTATCCATATGTCTCGGCGATAGCCTAGATAAGTACAACCTTGAAATACTTTAAAGTAATGATTACCATATTTTTGTCTTCATCATATACGATATCAGGTTGAATAACAGGATCAATCGCACATCCATCAATATCTAACTTAAAGATTTGCTTCATAGTTCATTCAATTCTCTTGTTTGTACCAAATCAAACTCAAAACCTCGTCCATCAGTGACTTTGCATGAATGAACCAGAAATCCTTTATCCATCATGTCACATTGCCAGATATGGTAAATTCTTTCTCCTACTTCTCCATATCTTCAAAGAATGCCTGATTTAAATTGTGGAGCCATGTCACTCACGCAACAGGAGGTCCATCGGGAGAGCCACTTCGGATGGAATATGAACAAGTGGGCATAACACCTGTATTAAGGAGTTCTGTTGGTCCAATAGGTCCAATCTCTGAAATTCGATAGAGTTCTATTCGCATAGTTAATGAAGGTGCTCACGAATAGAATTTGACACGGTTTTTTGACTTCTGAAGAAACAAATACACTTGTAAGCTCTGTCAGCACGTGTTACGAATGTTCCGTGAAATGAAACGATCATTGTTAAAGAATACATTAAACCCTTAAAATTAGAAAACAAATTGTGAAAGAATGAAAGAGTTCGTGATCATACTTCAAGCTTTCCCGTAACTCTGTGACGTTGCATCGTACAATCGCCATTCTTAACAACCATGCTCATTCTGAGAGAGATAGAGATAGATCTAATGTTCCAAGATCAGAGGGTGGAGCTTTTACCTGCTAAGATTACGGTTATCAACAAAAGCTTGGCTGCAAGTTGCATCATCTGATAATCCTTGAACATAAATTCTGCCTGTGAATGGTTTTTTGGTCTTAAACGTCATGCCAACCATCGAATCTTCACAATCAATCTGAATATCAGTCAATTTTCACAGAAATTTTTTATAAAATGTACTGTCGGCTCTCCAACTATCTCATTGTCAATGGGAAACTTGCAAACAGCTGAAGAAAATATAACAAATAATCCAAAAAATATCCTCAAAAGCATTTTTTTCTTTTCAAAAAGAATGCGAAGCTGGAAGAGCAGCTGATAACTGAACAGTCGAGATGTGTTGTTGTATGAATGCTATCTGAAGCACATCCATATATGAGAGAAGGTAAATTTAAAAAAGACGATTCGACTATCTGGAAGAGAAAAAAAAGAGGTAAATGACAGCCGATAGGAAAACCTTTATGATTATCAACTGTGCCATCTTTTGTTTGTTGTCAGAGAGAGAGATAAATACGATCTTCTGAATATGAAATGATTAGAATCTATAATATCTCACCTAATCTCTCATTCATCCCTCTCTTCCCATGTTTCCTTTTTTTGCCTTTTTTAACACAATGAAAGGAAAAGTTTAAAAACTGCTTTGGCCATTTTTTATGTTCGAAAATACAATCTTCTCTCTCTTCCATTTTCTCTCTTTCTTCTCTTCTCTCTCATTCTCTCTCTATCATTCCCCCTCTCTTTATCACTCCTTCTCTCTCTATCACTCCCTCTCTTTCTCTCTTTTTTGGTTTTTCCTCATTTTACGAAACTTTTTTCTTCTTTCCCAAATGAGCAGAAAGTGCAACACAGAGAAAAGCCAAAATAAAAATTGTCTTTCGTTCAGCTGCAACACATTCACAGACAGACACAGACACACATTTTCATTTCATTACATCGAACAGTTAAACGAACTTCTGAGCTTTATTTTGATGTAAAATGTCTTTTTATAAATCACAATTTGTTATTTATCGTGTTTGATTTTTATCTAAATAGTTAATTATAGTCTTCATATAGAACAGAATAAGGTCAAAGATGGATAATATGCGTCTCGGTGGGGCTCACAGGGAAAAGATGAAAAAAAAAAAAAGAAAAGAGATCACAACATCAAATGAAAATGATATAGTAGGTATAAGCCCAGAGAACTGAACAGAGATATTTGAAAAAAACTGATAAATATGTGAAAATAGATATATATTAATGAACAGGTATACTGTTGAAACATAGTATGTGGAGAGATCATGATTGCAAAAACGGCAAAACGTTTTTCATGTTTGCTGCAAACACAAAATGGAAATCATAAACGTATAATGAACCGGTGAGAGGAGAGGAGTGAAGCCATGCTTTCAAAATGTTTTTTTTTCTTTTTTTTTTTTTATTTCATATTTTTACAAAAAAAAAAGAAAAAAAGGAAGTAAAATGAAAATGAAAGTATATTATATGTATTTTCTAAATATTAACTCCTAAAAACATCAGCTATTCAATCACGGCTCAAATGCTTGGGTTCTGAAGGAATTATTGAAACGTTCAATGAATGAAGCTGACATACCAATACATCGAACTTGAAACGTATTATGACTAAGTTGAGCTGGCTTCCTATAATATTCTTCGATTATTATATTTATAATAATAATATAGCCATATTTGGATATATATATATTTATATATACATAAATCTATTGAACGTACCCATGAGATCTCTTGATACTTTCAATTCTTGAGAATTCATGTTCTATTTTCTCTTTGTTCATTGAATCCCTATGCGGCGAAGATTCTGAGTATGGAAAAACCTATAAGAAGATTAATTTTCAATACAATTCCTTCGTTTTTTGATGTTTATAAATAATTTTTTTTTCATATTCTATTGGTCAAAACATATTTCTTCAGTTAATTATTTATAAATGTTTATAGATTACCAATAAATTGCTGCTTCCACGCTCTAATGATAAGCGCAATTGTTCATTTTGCCAGCTCTCGCCAATCGGCAGCCATTGCTCTTCTGCTGAATGTCTAAATTGGGATAAGTTCGCAAAAATATGTTTTTTTTATCTTCCAACGAATTAGTAGAAATAATCTCACCGCGGTGTACTATGTGACGGTTGTCGAATATCTTCATCATCTGAATCTAAGACTGAAGTACATGCAGGAGCTGTATGAATGACGGATGTACGAACAACTCCTTCACCCATTTCCGTCAGCACATCCCGATAGTACGACGTTTCCATTGAATATTGAATTGCCCAAAATAGTAATTATTTACGAATATATATATATATAATACGACTGAAGAAAAAAGAAAATTTGCATTAAATAATTATTGAAAAAAGCAGTCATGAAGAGAAGCATGTCAGATGATTTGCAGCTTACAACATAACGTACTTGTATCAGAAATGGTATTCCTCTTATGTTTTTCATGATTGCTTCAGTTGTGTCCGGATTAATCTGCGTATCAGTCGTTTTCTTCTCGGATCTCCAATGTTTCACCATGTACAGAGGTCGACGTAAAATCTAAAAGGGCATATGCACGCACTATATATGCTAACCAAACTTACTCTTGGTCGTATAAACCAAGTGATGGCGAATATTATCATGCCAACTAAGCCTATTATAGTCAAACATATTCCGAGTACGAGCATTTCCGTAGATGTTATTCCGAGGAGCATTCCTTAAGCAGGAAGAATAATATATATGAATGAAATGCGAATATGAATTATATCATAACAAATTCAATCATTTTACCTATAACAAAAAGGACTAAGTTAAATATTCCGGAGCAGACAGCTATATGTCGCAATAGGCACATCAAGTCTGTAAATGATTTTTGAATATGTTTGAAGTGTCGCTTTCTTCTTGCTGCTCCATAGAGAGATATTTAAAGTTTCAAATTGGCAATTTTCAATTTGAGAAGCAGTTGAAAAAATGAAGAGGGAACGAACGAGAAAAAACTATTTGGCCGCAAAGAACTTGCTCGAGGTTGAATTGGTATGAAAACTCCAAGATTCAGAAAGTGAGTGTCAGAGAGAAGCCGAAATGTCAATGTCATCCATCAGGCCGCTGGCCTGTTATGTCTAATTACTTGTTAACTATCATCTACTTCTTTCCATTTCTGTGAACCTTTCTCAAGTGAGAGAGTGTGAAAGAGACAAAATCAAATGAATGAGAAGAATAGATAGAGCTGAATGACCTTATGAAGATGAAAAAATAAATTTAAAGAAGCAATTGAAGGAGTTCTTGAGAACAGAGAACCGTGAAGAGAAGATGGTGCGAAGAAATAAATAAGTTATAATTTTAAACAAGCTCAAATTCATGAGGGATGAGAATCGAATGACAAGTTTTTACTCAGATCTTCTCATCGTCATCTAGATTTCGTCTATTTCGACGTCATTGTCTATTTTTAACGGATGTCTCATATGGCTAAAAGCATTGATGTTAATGAGCTCAAGTTGAAAAGAGAATAGTTTGAAGCAGCCGCGAATAATTGTTAAAAAAAACAGAAAAATCGTTTTGTTTTATAAGGAGGTGTTAGCTCTCAAGTAACTGAACCAGTTATTGATTTGAACGATTACAGATTCTGGGGTCATTGAGTATGAGAATCTGGAAAAACTAGAATCACGAGTTTTCCCGAAGCTATATGCTTCACTCGGCTTCTGTGTTGCCAGCTCAACTCCTCCTTCTCACTCTCCTCCTCTTATTTGTTCTTCTTCCATCCCTCTTTGAGCCCCTTTCACTTTCTCATTCATTCACAATTTCTGTCTCACCCTCTAACACTCTCGTGTACTTCCCTCATTCTCTCTATTCTTTTCTCTCGATCTACTCTTGTCTCTTTTTTTCATCTATATATGTTCAGAAAATTACTCGAGTTCTATTCACAAATTAGCTTAACTAACGAAGTTGATCTGAGTTTTCTACTGTTATCGCTCTGAGTTTGAAGCTCAAATTTAGCATGATTAACTTATAAGCTTGATCATTATTTCGTGAAAAATATGTGTTTATCAAGAATGTCTTAGAAAAGCTTCATACGAATACTCTGATTGCTCTATATTAGGTGCCTTTTTTGAAAAATAGGCAGAAACCGTCGAATGCTTCTCAGCCTCCCTCCCTTCAGTCTCTCTATCTCTCTGTCTCTTAATCACTTTCTTTATTATTTTTTGCAAAAACAAGAAAATTACATGATGTGAAAGGCAAACTGAAAAAAATCTTTTTTTTGGCCATCTTCTTCATTCACACACCTCTGTATCAAAGGAATTAAGGCAACAGTTAAGAAAATCTTTTTCTAAACGTTGATATAGACGGATTCTTCAATCTCATTCATGCATGTTAACCGTCAGTGCACTTGATGTTGAAAACAATATGTATCAAAGAAAAGATCAGAGTTTGGCTGTAATTACAGAAAGCTAAGTACATTATTTTTGAAAATCGGTCATCAAGTTGCACATCTATTTCTGTGTTTTGGCATTCTCGTTCGAAAGCTCAAATGAAAAACTGAAAGTCAGTAGAGAATGGCTATTTGAACTTTCTTTGAACAAAAAGTATTTTTCTTTCTGTTATCAAAAATCCAACTTTTGCTATAGAAAACAATTTCAAATGATTATAGTTCAAAGAAAAAAAACAATTAGAAATGGAAATGTGACGATACAGTGCGTTCTCTCTTGAGATTCGAATAGATTTTCTATTTTTTTTGTTATAATTTTAATGTTAACAGAAAATGAAATGCTGATAATATCGAATATGCTCAGATGGATATTGAACGTTAGGGTAAGAGAATGGTTGTTGGAGGTTCCGCTGTAAACAATATCGGGAGATCAGGCTTAAAAGCAATCGGAGTAGAAGAATGAACAAAGAGGAAAGGGGGATGAGAGGAAGAAGGAGGATCAAATGAATTAAAAGAGTGAAAAGAGAGAAATACTTCTAATAAATGTGTATATGAAGGGCATAGAAAACAGAAAAGCAACGGATCAAATAGAGTATATAGAAAGACAAAGCTAGAATCAGGAAAAAAAGAGCATTCTATGTGGTAATAAGAAGTGAGGGACAAGAGAAGAAAAAGAGAGAAAGAGAGTAAAATGGCATTGATGCAAAGAAATTTAGCAAGTAGGGAGTAATTAAGAGTTATCAGAAAATGCTATTTATTGGAATGATAGAGTAGTATTGTTTATGACTGAGTTCGATGCTGGAAAACTTTTGAAGCTATTTTAATTCAATTGAAAAATCTCATTCCTCAAAATATGACACTCATAGAAAGAACAAATAGAGAGCTTCATAACAATCAGAGAAGATCTACCGAAGGAACATTAGGTAATGATTATGGTAAGAAAGATGGCAAAAACAGACCGCAATTAAAACCATTCTCTCTGGGTGAGGATATGAAGATTGGCTGTGAAATGATAGTAACTGTTGAAATGAATAAGATAAACGAGCTGAATTCTAAGAACTATCACCAACTCGAACACACACAACGGAATTAATTACAACCACAGTCGACAAGTATTACATAACGCAGTCTAGCATTCAATCAGGTTCATGAACATTGGTTTCGTTCGCAAGTTATACAGAGCTGCAGCATGTCAACCTCTCAACTTATATCTTCATATACATACATATGTTATTTCAGCAAAGTGATCTTTGTCGGCGAGCGAAGACTAATAAAAATGGATCAGACGAAATCAAGGAACGGTATTCAGATTAGCATACTATAGTTGGGCGTCGACTTGACGCTGAGTCGACTTTTATAGACTTGATCCAAGTCAAAAAACTGTGATTTCGAAAAGTCGACTTTGAGTCGAGTCGATAATTTTGGGAGATTTGGAAAAAAAAAATTTGACGCCAAAGTATATTGCATTGTGTAACGATTATTGTCGTCAATTTTTTGAAGCACTCCGTACTGTCGTGTACTGGCAAACGACTGATAAAAAATCCGTTTGAATATACTCATGATTTTGTCGAAAGTGAAATAACAGGAAAAAAGAGAGTGAACAGAAATTTGGACAACTTGAGCATAAAAGTTGGGAGAAGTTATAATAAAAGGCTTCTAGTTGAAAAATGTACAGAACTCCCGATCATTGATTCGGAAGATTCGGTTTGGTCGGTACAAGAATAAGAAGCCGAAGTTTGATTATTCTCAAAGCACTTTACTGACAGTCTGAGTTTTCTGAATGTTATATAACTTACTTAAATCATCCGAAATGATGAGGATAAAACCCTAATATCATGTAAAATCATGAATCGACTAACCTGAGGTACAGATATGATTTAGAACATTTGAATGGAAAACATTGAAAGAACAATGAAGGTTTTGGAATCATGGTGAGGAGGTAATTGGGGGGGTGCAGCTGATGGGTTTGTCCAAATCAGCATTTCCGCCACACATAAAACATTTACTACCACATCAAGACAAACAGAGTAATCAGGCGGTCACACTAGAACTTTCCAAGCCCGAAATATGAACAAGATATGCATCATGTTAAGCGATGCGATGCAATCGTCAGCAAACTTTTCTCTCCTTTCTTCTCTTTTCCTACGTGTGAAGACAAATGTTAATAGGTACGAGAAGGTACATGAAATGAACGTTTTTAAGCGTTCATAGTGTAAGAAAGCTAGGGCTTAAAGACACCCCGCCGACCCTATATAAAGCCTCATGAACTAGAGTAGTGGAGACTCTTCATCTGTTATCCATCCCTCTCACTCTATCTTTGAGGACAAGACACGGTGTCCTCCTGGACACTCGTTGCCCCTGCAGCAACGTCAGCGATCTATGTGCTCCGCCCATTTACATCGTCGTAGCTGCGACTGTTTCAAATCTTATATCTCAACACTCCCAACAACGCAACCCACGATTTCTTCTACAAATACAACTCATTTACAAGGACATAACAGAAAGGAGTATCGTCTAATTCCACATTCTCTACCAATGTTGGGTTTGAAACATCTCCCTTTGTGGTTCTTAGCACATTTAAGGCAATTTCAATTTTTCTCAATGATTTGAAGCCTGTTGATCTTCGAGAGGGGACAGTCCCGAACTAAGTGTGATTCTGAGCAGATAAAGCATTTGAGCTTTGTCGGTGTCGTTTCATTTTCTCGCTTCAATGCAATGTTTTCCAACTTTTTTGATACTCTGCTCCAGATGCAAGATTCTGTTATCAATTTGTTTCAACATTCAATTTTAGGTGGAGTTTGCTGTCTACTTCCATGTTCAGGTCATTTAGCTCATCATCCAAAATCTCTAGCAGGATGGAGTTCAGAACAAATGAAACATTTCATTTCGGTTCCTGCATCATGTTGTTGGTGTGGGATGTTTGAGATACTCCCAAGGCTTTCAATCTATTCTCCAAATCAAAGATCTTCAAGTCCATTTCTTTAAACTTCAGAT